ATTCGACTTATGGACTGGCTCCAAAACAAAATACATAGTGATCATCCAGGAAGGGTGCATTTGTCCTCTGTTATGAACTATAGCTCCTCTCTTCTTACTGTTTTTATGTAATATTTTTATGTATTTGGTTTTTGCCCATACTTTAGTTGTTTTTCAAAAATTTAAAGGTGCAAGAATGACAGAATTTTGCTCAAAATAATCTTGTTTTTTGTAGTCTGTCTTCCTAGTCAGTGTTTATGAAAAATAGAATTATGTCTCATTTGTTGAAATCTTTGAAAATGCCATTACACTTCCCCAGATCCTCCAGATAGCAATAAAGGAAATTGATAGAGATCTCCCCAAGTGGGGGGAATTTAACCAGCTACTGCAACCTTCATTTTGTTTAACCAATTAGAAGGCAGGCAGTTGTTAAATATTTGCTATTAATTCATTCTTGGGTGCTTATTTATTTTTCAGTAACAGATTGTATTTAATAAATACCAAGACTATCACAATGCCCAAGGGGGACAAAGAACAAAGTATTATAATTTAAATGTCTCTTTTATTAAAAGTATAGTGGAAAATTATCTGGACATATGCATGAATCATGGATTAGACATCTCAGGAAGCTGCTTGCTTTTTTGTGTCTCTGCTTAGTGGGTGTCTACAGTGGAGAAAGACAGGAAAATGTGAGTACCACTTAAGTATCTTACATGGTTGCCTACAATCCCTGTGCAGATTGGACTAACCCATGAAATAATACAAGTGTCACCAAGTATAAAATTTGTGCTAAGAAAATTCCTAAGGGCTAAAATAATTGGGGAAGAGATCATAGAAAATGGACATTAGATTAGTTCTGAAGTTATGGGTATGGTTTAAATCTGTGGAGAGAAATGAAACCTGAAAGACAGACAACTAACAGCAAAGATGCAAACAGCACACTCTCCGTGGAGAGGATGGTGGTGAAGGGCAACAAGATCAGAGGAATAGATGCATGAAACATGTTTAGAAGTTATGCCCGGATTATGGAGAAACTTGAGTCCTAGGAACAGAATCTTGGCTTTGTTCTGGGAGATCCTGGAGAAACTTTACTGAATGTTCTGAGAAGATTACACTTAAAATAGTATGTGGAAGAAATCTGAAAGAAGCAGAGTCAACGTTTCAAAAAATTATCTAGGAGCTTACTGCAATATTCCTGTCATAGTGGTCCAAAAATAATGGTAGCAAAAGGAAAGGAAATCTACAGAAAAAAGGAGGCAGAGTGATGCTCGATTCTATCATCCTTGAATTTATTAGGTGTGGATTGGATTCCTCCATGTGTTGTATAAAAATAGCTGCTATTGCCGTCCCCTCCCACCCCTGCTATGAGCATAGACTCTAGGAGATCATAACCAGGACTGAATTTGAGACTTGTGAGTGGAGTTGTTAGCATAACATTATGTTAAATGACTCTTGTGGAAAGTGAGACAGAGTCCAGAACAATACATTAAAATACTTGGCAAGTGACTAGGTTGCTCTACCTTCCTCCAAGAGCCTGGTAAACTTGTGGGAAAGCAAGCAAGGAGTATGATGTGCTTGGTGAGTCTTCAGCTTGACCAACTTTAGAAATGGCTAGAAAATGAGCTCTGAACTTGCAAAACCAGAAACCACCCCTCAAATCCCAGACATCTTCTGACTTCAAAACTAGTGAGAAAATGCTTTGGGCCAGTAGTCACAAGTTTCCTTATTTGTCTTGACCCTGTCACTCAGTAGTATGACCATGGGAAGTCACTTCTGCCAAATCTCATTCAGTTTCTTTGTTCATTAGACCAATACTACCTGTCTGGGAAACTCAGAAAATTACCATGAAGATCAAAGGAGAAAAGATATATTAAGACACCAGAACACACTGTGATAGAGAGAAGAGAAGAATGGCAAACTCCAGTTGGGTAACTGCCTTATCCTAGTTATCAAGGTGTGATTTTCAACAGTATTGTTTGTATAATTTTTAAGATCTCTGAAAGAACTCTCTGGAACCTTAAGTATCTGCGCAATTGCATTCAATGCTAGCACTTTGCATTGAGCATACAGTACTGTTCTAAGCACAGTACTTAGGACTTTGTTGCCTATTTCTTGATCCTTTCATAACCACTCTGTGAGGTGGACAAAGATCCTGAGATACACAGGGTCAAAGTCATTTTCTATAAAGCATGCAGATCAGGTGTCAAGCTTAGCTATGACATTATCTGGAGAATTTGGCATTTAGTAGGTGATTAATAAATATTCACTGACTGAATTTACCCTGAGGCTGACTCCTATCAGAAGTCCATCTTGTAGTGATTAATACAGAAGTTGGCAAACTACAGGCCATAGGCCGCATTTGGCCCACAATTTGTTTTTGTCGATAAAGTTTTATTGTAACACCGTCCAATGAATTGGATGTTTATGTGGCCCTCACAATTTACATATTAACTCCCAAAATGATGATATTAGGAGATGGGGTCTGTGGGTGGTGCCTTTATGAAAGAGACTTCAGAGAGCTCTCTCACTTTCTTTCTCTAAAAGAAGGACACAACAAAACAAGAGTCTAACTCAGAAAATACTTTTACCAGTTGCCAAAAATGCTGGCACCTGGATCTAGGGAGTCTAATCTCCAGAACTGTGAGAAATAAATTTCTTTTGTTTATAAACCACTCAGTTCCTGTTACTTTGTTATAGGAGCCTGAAGTAAAAAACATATGTGTGTACATTTCTCTATATGTTGTCTCTGATTGTGTTCCCTCTACAATGGCAAAGTTGGGTATCTATGACAGAGAGTTTATGACTCACAGTTTCTAAAATATTCACTATCTGGCCCTTTAGAGGAAAAGCTTGTTGATCTTTGATCTGATGTAATGACTGCATTTTCTGTCTGTTGACTTCCCACAACAGAGAACCATTTAAAGTAGCTATGTTAGTCAGCTTTCTGTCACTGTGACAAAATACATGAGGTAATCAATTTATAAGGATGAAGGGTTTATTTTGGCCCATGGTTTCAGCCCATGGTCATTTGGTCCTCACAGCTTTGGATCTGTAATGAGGCAGAACATCATGGCAGAGAGTACACTGCAGAACAATCAAGGGAGAGAGAGAGAGAAAGAGAGAGAGAGAGAGAGAGAGAGAGAGAGAGGGGTGAGGGTCCTAATATCCCACTCAAAGGCACACCTCCAGTGATCTAACTTCTTTGCACTGGGATCTATCTCCTAAAAGTTCCACCACCTGCCAAGAGTGCCACAGGCTGGTGAACAAACCTTTAATATTTGGGCCTTTAGGAATATTTAAGATCCAAACCCTAACAGTAGCCATTCAGGCATGTGCAATGCCGGAGAAGCAAAGGATGAGCATTCTGGTAAGCTGTGTGAAAACATAACTGGTCTTCTGGCCACCTTACTGGATCTGTTTGAGGTCATTATACTGACCCATTTTAGTTTTTATTAAAATGTTTTAGCATGCTTATCCATTGGAAAGCATGGTCATGCATATGAGAGATTTTTAAAAATTTGTAATTGAGAAACTCAAGTCACTGATGGCTCAGAAGTGAGTGAATAATAATGATTTTACAATGGGAGAACGGATTTTTTAAAAGAAAGTTTGGGCTATCATCTGTCATGAATGAAAACAAAACAAAGTAAATAGTATTTAATTGGATGTTATTTATGTTAAAGGGATTACTTCAGGTTTGATTGTATTTTGTGGATTTTTTTTTCAGTAATTAGGGAAGTGGGTCACATACTACCTTTCTTTCTGTCAAGAGGAAAAAGGCCTTTTTTAGAACCCACATATTCATAATTAGTTTTGTTAATTCATATCATAGTGACAGTTTCAGGCCTCATTCTTCATTTTAATAACATATTTGAAAAGTTATTAATAGCCAATTATTTGCTTTCCAATGATACAGGAATATATATTAGACTCAAGAACTCATTAGAGAGTGAACATTATGAGATTGGACTCTGAATTTCAAAATGGCCACCTATCTTTCCACTGCTTACAATCATAGTGAACTGTTTCTATGGGTTGAGTTTCCCTTATTTATGGAAATGTGTATGAATTTATAATACAAGGGTATAGAGTTGTAAATATATGAAGCAGCAACTGAAAATTTGAATAGAAATTCCTGTTGTTCATTCACTTGACAAATACACATGGAGCACCGATGGTGTATCAGACGTAGTATTGGCCACCAGTCACGCAGGACGTCCAAAGCACACAGGGTAACAACTTCAACAGAGCCAGGGAAGGAAGATAAGAAGCAATACTTTATAAGCACTGTAAAGAAAATGAATAGGGCAGAATAATAAAGAAAAAAAAAGGGAAGAACCAACTAAAATAGGCCACAGTGGTCGTTAGGTGTGGGGAAGAGGAGGCATCTACAAAGGCCCTAAAGCATGTCTGAGCTTGGGACTTCCGGTGAATAGAAAAGGGTACAGTGCAGTTGGGAAAAGCAGAAGGAGGTAAGGCTAGAGTATGTGTGCAGGGATTTGGGGACCATTTCAAGAGAGAAGAATGTGTTAAGTTTTTATATATTTTGAAGTGAAAACATAAAATTTCACTTCTTAAAAGAGAGACTAACACAAGGATTATTTTTCTGGACAAACTTCAATGCATCTTTTGCAGGACATCATTTTTCATCTATTTATCCCTAAAATCTCCAAGGGAAAGGTCAGGATTGTGCAATGTGACTCACACTTTTGTGACTAATTATATAACAATGCTACTAGAGTAAAGCATTTAGAGAGAGGAGATAATTTTACTCTTTTCAACCTAGAATTTTCAGTAGACAAAAACAAAAACATTTCAAGTTTTCTCCAAAAACATTGCCATCTCTGCAGATTCTAATTACTGTCCTTTCTCCCTTTTACAAAAGAGTCATATCCTAATTTATCACACTAAAGAAAAACATTTTTGTAAACCCTGTGTATTGCATTCCTGAGTTGTCACAAGAATGAAGATTATTAATACACATATGTATGTATATCTCATTCAGTTTCTTTGTTCATTAGACCAATACTACCTGTCTGGGAAACTCAGAAAATTACCATGAAGATCAAAGGAGAAAAGATATATTAAGACACCAGAACACACTGTGATAGAGAGAAGAGAAGAATGGCAAACTCCAGTTGGGTAACTGCCTTATCCTAGTTATCAAGGTGTGATTTTCAACAGTATTGTTTGTATAATTTTTAAGATCTCTGAAAGAACTCTCTGGAACCTTAAGTATCTGCGCAATTGCATTCAATGCTAGCACTTTGCATTGAGCATACAGTACTGTTCTAAGCACAGTACTTAGGACTTTGTTGCCTATTTCTTGATCCTTTCATAACCACTCTGTGAGGTGGACAAAGATCCTGAGATACACAGGGTCAAAGTCATTTTCTATAAAGCATGCAGATCAGGTGTCAAGCTTAGCTATGACATTATCTGGAGAATTTGGCATTTAGTAGGTGATTAATAAATATTCACTGACTGAATTTACCCTGAGGCTGACTCCTATCAGAAGTCCATCTTGTAGTGATTAATACAGAAGTTGGCAAACTACAGGCCATAGGCCGCATTTGGCCCACAATTTGTTTTTGTCGATAAAGTTTTATTGTAACACCGTCCAATGAATTGGATGTTTATGTGGCCCTCACAATTTACATATTAACTCCCAAAATGATGATATTAGGAGATGGGGTCTGTGGGTGGTGCCTTTATGAAAGAGACTTCAGAGAGCTCTCTCACTTTCTTTCTCTAAAAGAAGGACACAACAAAACAAGAGTCTAACTCAGAAAATACTTTTACCAGTT